AAACCTGATAAAAACGTCTGGTTGTACTAGCCAGGATAGCGTGAGCGAGTTAAAATTTTCGTGGGCGTAAAACAATAAGGGAACCGACTCGAGGTACACTTCTGCTGTACCTTTTTATTCTTGTGATTCAACGTTGTCATTCTGAATGCAACATTAAAATAAGATTTCACGTCATTGTCGTCATTGGAGCAAAGTGAATGCTTGTTGCGAGTCTTGCGACGTTGTAGGAGTTACATAAAATCTGTTTCGTAGCAGAGGTCATAGTTATATATGCATGAGTAAGCCTGGGACTGCTTGGGACGATTACATAATTGTTAGTATAAATAGAGTTTTTGTAAATAGACTATCATATCATGAAATAGTAGTTAGAATAAAGTAGTTCACCGTTTATGATCATCACAGCAGACACCGCGGATCATTTTTTCCCGATCTTACAGCCGTTTGTAAGCCTAAGGTTATTTTAAAAAGCTTCAATTTATTCCAGTAATCAAGTCCTTAGCTCTCAATCTTGAAGTGAAATTCAGACCGCATCGTCGTCTTTTCGAAATCTGTCTACTAACATCGAAATGGACCTGAAACTGGTCCGACAAATTGTAAACGTACCTTTAGAGATAATAAACTTCTTAGGAATCGTACTTGCATTAACAGGAAGTTATCTCATTCAAGGTTTTATTTTCAACATTATTAAGGGAACAAAATAACGAATTGTAGTAGCGATATATCTATAGTAACACTGATGGTTCGAGATAATACGAGTTATACAAGAACACGATTATACTTATAAACCAAGCTGCGTTTACACACTGCGATTGATTAGTGTTAACTTGTTGATCATTTGTTAATTTTAAATAAAGTATTGCCTGCCTGATTCGCTTTCTGGCGTATGTCATTGAGTAAACACGCGTAAGCTGGCTACATTTGAAATTTCTTTTTAACGAAACGGCAAGTATTGCAAACAAATATTGTATAAATCACACTTTTTATTATATTATGATGACGTCATAGTGACGTCTTGACTGACATAATCTAATTATGTGAATTTATTGTCAAGTAAACATAAAAAAGATTAACAACCAAAAGAAAAGTTACAATCGTATTTTCTCGCGACAACTTAGACATAAAATTGGCTTAAAATGTGTATATGTATAGACTATATAGAGACAATAATGTAAGGACGCACAGTTATTGGTTTACACTGTTGTGGTGTTCATGTTTATTGTCTAGATGTCTATTTGCTGTTCTGTTATGTTAATAAAAAAATAAATAAATAAACAATCAGAAGCAAAAATTATCGAGACATCCTATTCGCCCCCTACTTTCCCCCAAAACAATGTTGTTTCCATGATACTAAAGTAACTAAACCGCAGTGTTGGCTGAAAACATTCACCCAACATTGTCAATGGGAGGAGGGGGGAGGGGGGGACAGTAAGAAAACATCGAATTATATACGAGTGTAGATGTGTCAAAATGAAAAATAATGTTTGAAATACGTAAAGTCTCATTATTTTTGCTAGACTTGCCCAAGTCGCTCGCTAGGGACCGCGCGTAGCAAGAAGGGAGCGCTTGAGAAAGACGGAAGCGAGCGACTTGTGTCACTTGCCTGATTTTGAATCTTACTGAAAACTTTGGCGCGAAAATCAATTATGACATAGTGGGCGTTCACCATGTCGATTTCACTAGTTCATTATTGTTTTGGCGTCGTTAGTACAGAATAATAATGAGCATTCACTGACGTCACCGGAGCAAAAATGCACCGGTGATTTTGGCGCGCTTGCGGTTGACAAAAGTCCGTCGCTTCCAGGAACCACGAACCGCGGACATTGGAAAGTCTATATTTTTGCACGTGATTGTAGGACTGGATCAATATACTTCACCAGGCGGAAATCGTAATCTTAAGATAAATATTAATGCCCAGCAGAAAATACGTAAAAGAATCATAACAAAAATATAGTTTAGGAAAATATTTATTAGAAAAGCTAACGTTTCGTCTTTAACCTATTTAAGACATCTTCTCATTAACAAATCCAAACCCTCTCTCCACTTACAAGGCAGTTCGGTCCCTCTCAGTGAACTCTAATAAGACTGGAACGATAACTCGGCCGCCATCTTTGAAGCTAAATCGAAGGCCGCCATTGGAGGTACGGCGGCGAAAATACACCGCTTCGAAAAACTCGGATTTCTGCCTTTCTAGCTATGCTAGAACATAGATAAAAAAAAAAACTTAAAAACATTTATGATACTTGGACTATTTCACAAATCATGTTTGGAAGCCGTAGAAAAGACTTAACGTTATTTTTTGTGTACCTGAAAGTCGTATTTTGTTCGGCACGAAAAATATTTTATTATTTTCTTGAATACAAAAATGGTTCCTTTCGAGATTTTGCTGTTAGTGGATGTAGAATACTTAGAACTATCCAGAAAACCAAGTTTGAATCTTTGAAATTGAAATCTTCGGAGGAAAACCTAATTTTTCGGCGTATTTTTGCTAAAAAAAACAAAATTACGAGGAAATTGAACTCTCCCCAGTTCTTTTCAGAAAGTCACAGCGCGCGAACTTTTCCCGGGCGCCAAATCACAAATCGCAAATCACGGGGGTTTCTACGGAAAAATCGATTTACTACACCTATACTTTAATACAAAAAGGTATATTGGTCCGTGGATTTATGTTGTAAAGCATTTGCAGTAGTAAATTTACGTGGTGTTTTCCACAAACAAAAAGTGTTATAAACCTGATACTCTTCAAACTTTCGCTGTTGTGAGATGCAAAGCAGTTCTAACTATCAAACAAATCGTATTTGGGTTCTTAAAATTGAAGTCTTTTGATGAAAAACGACTTTTCTTGCCCATTTTCGTCGAAAATAAACTTTGACTGAATTTCCCACTCCTCGATACTTTCCTTAGTCCTTTTAAAAGTGCAATTTCCTCGCACGGTTGGCTTCAGGCAAGTATGGGAATGTTTACCTCACCGGTAATTATCGTTGCAGTCTTATTATAGTTCACTGGTCCCTCTACTTCTACTCTGATCCATTCCTCTTTCTACTTTGAAATATAATATCTTGAAAATAGTTGTAATTTATTCATATTTCTACGTATATTCTGCTGGGCATTAATACTTATCTTAACATCTGAGTAAAATACAAAAAAAGGGTACATTTGCGTGCATTGTTGCTTAATGGGTTTAATAATTGGGAGGAACACGAAAAAATGTGTGCCACACGTTGCAAGGCAGAAAAAATCTTTGTGTCCCGCTCCTATGTAATTGCAAGGCAGAAAAAATGTCCCGCTTCTATGGAGCTCAATAAAGTATGTACCCCGTCCTCTTTTGCTCCGGCCCGTATAAAATAAATTTTGCATGGCCCCTTGTGAGAACGTCGGGCATATTTTGAACGCCCATAATTTTCCCCTCTCGTACACTGTGGCTACTTGGCTACTCTAAAATATAAAGATAAGGTGGATATAAAATTCCTGTTTTGAAGGATAAATTCTCAAACAATCGTTTTTCCTTCGAGCTGAGATGAGATATTTGCCAGTTCGGAAGTGAGTCCTTGAATCAAGTCGCTAAATAAGCAGGAAACCGAGAAATAAAGAAAACTTTGAAATTCTTTTATGTTCAAGGCAATAATAATAACCTACAGCTGTGTAAAGCGAATGTTTTCTACGTAGAAATGGAATAGATCATCATCAATCCGCACGTTCTGAACGGTGAGTTAAACTTACTTTCGCATATTTTAGTGAATAGTGGCTACATGTTGTTGGTTGATCTCAATACAGACTGACACTGTTCACGGTAGTAGCGGCTATTTTGGCTTTCGCATTTTGAAAGTAGAGCAGACACAGTCACACAACAAGCAATGAAACAGTCTCGCGGAAACTATCCTTGGGAGTTGGGATAAAATACAGTGTCGGGGACGTGTGTCGTTTGCGAGCGGCAGTGTCCTACCTTCTCTTATTAAGTGAGAGAGATTTTAACTCGGCACTACGCGGTAAATAATATCCCAAATGGCGGCAAATTTCACAAGGATGAACATATCAACACAGCGAACTCGTAAGTGAAACACTAACGACGATTAATTGCATTTATGTCGAATAATTGTATGGATAGTGTTGGATTTGAATATGGAAATAAATTAATAGGCTGAACAACATGGCGGTTAATAAAACTATTTTAAATGCCACAGGCGGTCTGAAATCTGATTGACACCACAGCAAAATGGCAAAGACACCTTGAAGCAGAGATAAGTAAACATGTTTTAACTATATTTTAATATTTATGGTAATATAATATGGTGATAAACAATCATGTTAAACAACATGTGGTCTGAGTCCAATCACATCCGACTGCCGGAAAGAAATGTAAAGCTGCTCTCCACTAAAATTAATAATAATAATAATAATATAATAACGAATTTTATTAAGGCATATCTACATGGCAGCTCTACATCCTTAATACCTAAACTAAGATAAATATATATGTATATATGATATTTGGAAAAATAGTAAAAGGAGATTAATGTATATGAAATAGTTAAGCTAAAAATTGAATCAAATAGCTAAAATGTTATAAATGTTCGATTCGTTCTCGAGCCTTGTTCAGAAGGAGAGTTTTGAGTGTGTTCAAAAAGGGTCTGTAATCGTGAACATTTCTCAAATGTGTAGGTAGTTCATTAAAAATCTTCGCACAACAATCCTGGAATGTTCCTGTTTCCAATGGTTAATAACGGTTATATTAACTAAATATAAATGCATAATATCCTAAGATTAGGGATTTCCCTTTGAAAATGGGATTTCCCTTTGAAAGTTTCTTTTGAAATAAATGAGTGAATAAAAGCACAGTGTCTATATAGTTTTGTGCATGAATTGAAGTTTATTTGTTGATGTAATTAGAACTTATATAAAAGTTAAGGCTGCATTCCTGTTACGCGTTTTTCATACGTGCGTA